CTTTTCTTTCTTTATTTTTTTTTTTTTTTTTTTTTTTTCTCATGGCGAGGAGAAAAAAAGGGATGCACATGGAAAAATGGCAAAAAAAAAAAAAAAAAAAAAAAAAGAAACGAAAACGTCAGGGAGGCAGTTACATCCACCTGGCTCTGCAGAGCACCACCATTTTCCTGACCTTCTTATGCGGGTCCACGGACGCGATGGACAAGTACCACTTAATCTGCAAAGGGGGAGGGGGAAAAGAAAGACGCAATGGTTAGGGGAACAACATATTGTGAGCCATGTAATATATAAGATGGCGAGACATATCACGTGGGGGAACAAAACGCAGATGGAAGCCCCCCACATTGGAGAAGCACTTACGTCCTGGATGACATCATAGGGTAGAAAAGACTTGTAGTTTAAAAAAGAAATGACATAAAAAATGCAGGCGCACTGATACCTAGCCAAAGGCAGAGGAACAGATACGATTAATTTGAGCAGGCTCTTCACCAGACGGCATTTGTACGACAATAAAAATTGGACATTCTCCTCAAGAGTGCCTTTCGGCGGCGCTCCTCTGACGGATGACCCATCCCGGGACCCCCAAATCTGCCCCTCATGCGCCAACACGAAATTGAAAAGGTTCATTATGAGATAGAGAAGGCGCAAGGCCAGCACCAAAAGTAGTGATACCACTTCCCTACCAATTAGCTGCTCACCCATAACTTCATGGCCTCCCCCTCTATTACCTGTGCCGTGCACCCCATCACCAAACAAAACACGAACGAGCTCCGTGTTACTCCGCAACACCCCGTTAATGTACCTCTTGTTGCTGCTTCTGTACTCCCCTTTGCTTATAAAAAAATTCGAAAATTTACCTATTCCTTTCAGGATGCATATCTCCATGACGTTATAATATTTCTGCAGTGCCTCTTCCATGGGTGTGTGTAGCAGCACAATGGACGCCAAGTGGATTAAGCAGAGGTACCTGCAGTTATACTTTAGTATCCTATTCTCTTTCCGTTCTTGTAAAAAGGACAGGAAGTCTCTACCTTTGGAAGAATGCCCATCTGCTACATCTCCCCTACGTGGATAACTACCACCTTCTTCTTCTTCCACCTCTTCACAAGACGCATCCACATTGATGATCATTCCTGGTGAGATAGAATAGGACATGTGTTCATCTGATTTGTTCTCTCTTTTCACTTGGTCCATTGTCTCAGTGCCAACCACTACCGATTTCGAAATGCCCTTGTCGCTCTCCTCATAACAGAACAAATAGCTGCTCAGTTTTTCCAAAAAGGTTAGCGTCTTCTCATCCCTTCTGATAACGTCAAAGGGGAGAGAATAATAAAAGGAGAACTTTTCCCTCTCCATGAACCAAATGAATTCCGAAATGGAAATAAATTTTTCAGTCACATCAACCAAGTACACATAATTATACAAGGTACAAATAAAGTTCAACAAATTTTCTCTACACAAGGTCAGGAAAGCATCGCTGGGTTTAAACGACACACAGTTGTAATTCTCTTCGCTTAACAAAAGCCTTGTGTTTATGTTATGAATGATTGAGTAGACGTGGCTATATATGTGTGAAGGGTACAGGTAGAAATGCCATATCAACATGTGCTTAAATTTGTGCTCAGGAAGTGAAGCACTTGCTACGCTGTTGCATACGAGATGCAGATTTTCCTCTAACGCTTCTTCTGAGCTATGCTTCAACAGGTGGATGGTCAAATCGTAATTGAGGGAGAAATGCTGCACGAAGAAATGGAGGAAGTAGCGGCGAAGGAAAAAGTTTCCCTCGTCTCTGTCCCTACTGTTGCTGTTCTCTCCAATCTCTTCGCCACCCCCATTGGACGACTGACCCCCTGCTAAGCGCATCACCCCTTTCAAATTGGCTACCCTGATTGTTCCCTCTTCGTTGGGGCAAAAGTTTACAAACTTCAGCTCGCCTGGACTGGACCCCTCCCGATTGTCACCCTTCAAATACCTTCTATCTAGTAAGCGAATTTCAATCCGCTTCGAACTCCCTTCTTCTCCCCAGCTATGTTTATTATTACCTTTACTGTAAAATATTTTGGAAATCTCGGGGTCCTCTTCGCCAAAGTAAATATAATCTAACAGATAGAACAACTCGCTTGATGGGTCCCATGTAGGGGCTTCGAAAAGTTTGTTCAGAAGGGGGACCAGTGGGGATTTACCTACCATGGGTGGTTTTTCCCCCATGGAATCAGCAGCTACGGCTGCTACTGATCCTCCCTTTGCACCTTTTTCCCACCTCCGTATAAACGCCTCATACGTCGCTGCGAACAGGTCGATGAAGCGCTTAAAAGATAGTGCACCACTTAACGTTATCGCAATGTCGTCGACCAAATCAAATGGGGCTAAAATAAAATTCACCATTTTGTGAATGCCATTCCAGTTATGCACGAGGATGCTTACAATCTGTAGAGCGCATTTATGCACACTTTCCAAATTGGCACGATCTAGGTGGAGAAGACAATCTCCTACAATGTTGTCATCCCCAAAAGGGACTTCCCCCTCCCCTTCCTTGAAATGCTCCCTACCCTTATCGCCTAAAAATTTCGAAACGGATTCTTGTGACGGGCGTGTACTTGCATTCTTCCCGCTTCTCGTAAGATCCTCCCAATAGGTGCCCTTTCCATTTGAGTTTTTCTCACAGGTGTTAACGCGGTTGGATGAGCAGCTCTCCAGGGGCAGATTAAATAAAAAAATGTACATGCACAATTTTAATAATTTCTGCATATGGTCTATTCCTATTTGTGTGTAGATGGACAGGAGGGCAGGTAGGAAAAGCAACAAAAGAGGGTTCATTAGACGTGAGGAGAATTTCTCCCCACCAAAATTGTTCAAGTGATAAGTCTCTTCAATGCTTCCTCCAAACATACCATCCTTATCGTACATGCACAAGTGTGCATCCCCACCAACGCACAAATCAATCAACCTTTCAAGAAACTCTTTCTTCTTCGCATCACTCATGGTGATAAATATATGATTCAAATTTTTCTTTACTTTCTGATATAGGTAACTAACCAGGGCGGGCATTTCTGCATCCCTTTCTTTCTCCGTTTTTCCCTTCCAATCTTCACAAATTGTATGACTTGTTAAGGTGATTTTTAAAATGTATAACAAAGTGTCCGTCTCGAACACGTTTAAATTGGTACACGTGTTGCTACCTGAGAGACATTTCATGGGACTCATTTGGGAATGTTGAACAATGCCATCTTCCCCCCCCGTTTTGGTAATTTCACCCCTCGCATGTAAATTTGTCACTTCGTTTATTCGAATGAAGTTTTTCAAATTGTGCAGGTAGGTCCCGTAATAACTCAACTCTTCATTGCTATTCATTATTCGAATGCATTTCAGATTATCTACTTCGTTGTGTCCCTGGTGTTGTTCCTCCCCTGTTGACATGTCTCTTGAGAGGATGCTCCTGACGACTGCCTCCTCGTACAGATAATTTATACACAGTTCCATCACTTCCATATTGTTCACAAGAAGATGTGCTTTGCAGAGTTCCTTTTTTACCTTGTCTTGTTTGTTCTTATCATGTGGTGACTCATCTGAACCTTCGAACCCTCCACTTCTCTGCATAGCCTTTTCACATGTCTTGTAAATTTGCCAATAGGCTAAACTGATTATGTAGGACAGATAAAACGATGTGATGTCTTCCCTATTTGTGTGTTCACACATGGTAATCTTAAACGATTGGCTTGCACATGTTGTTTCTTTCTTTTCCTGTGTTGATTTACCCCCCAATTTTTTTTTTTTTTTTTTTTTCACCCTCCATTTCGTATAACTTCTTTAGTGTTGCCCCATGTTTGGAATCCACAAGGAGGCATTTCACCTGGACGCTCTTCCATTTCAGCGTCTCTTCAATAGGCCCTCCACCGAAGCGAACAAGTTCAGCCAAGACACCACCGGGGGTCATTCCTGAATGGGGATTACACTCATACATTTGTGGAGATAATTCCACATCAGCTTTGCCATTCTTCTCATTGTGTGGCCAGATAGGGTCACTTCCTGTGGTGCCTTCTTCCTCCTTCAAGAGGAGAAACTTGTCCTTCATCTCCTCAATGGGGTGGTAAAAATTCTTCAGAACAAAGGAAGCCACATTCATGGAAATGAATAAGAGGTCGGAAATGTCAACCTGGTACATCTCCCTCAAAAGGGATATGTACAATTCCAACTCTTCATTCTTTACGAAGTGGAACTTTAGCAGTAGGAAGCATATGTTCATCAGCAAAGTGTTTAGGTAGCTGCTAATCTGCTCATACTTGTATTTTATGATTTTACTTACTAAGGTGAGAAAAAAGAGCAGGTCGTTTTTTTTATATTCTTTACATGCTCGCACAATATTTTCATTGTTTAGTTTCATGTCTTCGGTGAACTGATGGTGATTCTCAATGATGCTCCTTCTCCACTCTTCTACATTCTTAAGGATGTGGTCCTCCCGCTGGTCGAGGAGATCGCGCCCGCGGTTGTCCACCACATGGAACTTTACGTTTTCCCCTGGGTGCATTCCGATCACGTAGAAGAAGAGCATAATCGCTTGCTGGTACAGGGTGTCGTCATTCGTTACGTTGCCCATCACGTTACCAGCTGCATCGTTCGCTGAGCTACCAACTGCGTCGTGCTCTGTGCCGCTCCCCCCCACAGCAGACCCCCCATGCATGCACACAAAGCTCTGAAGGATGCCAAAGAGGTGTAGACCCGCATCGTGGTACGAGTGAAAAAAAGGTTCCCGCCCCATGTTCAGCATCTCTCCGATTAGGCATATTTCCTTCAAAAAGCTGATCCCCTTGGCCACTATTTCTTCCACTTTGGCGCTTTTGCTCATCACGTTGTTTATAAAGCTGAGATAGGTCGCGACGAGGTTCCACTTGCCTTTGACCTTCGCATTGCGTGCAGTGAGTAAATTTTGCTCATCTTGTTCTGTCTGTCCATCTTGCACCTCTTCAGCGTTTGCCCCATCAGGAGGCGTCCCTTCCCCCATCAGCTTGTGTACCAGGTAGTAGCACTCGTGGAGCATCGGCTTAAGGGTCGTCTCCAGGACGTACAGGAAGACGTAGGTGCTCCCTTGTGATATGGAGACGAGGATTTTTTCTATTACGGGAAATTTATTCAGTTTTATTTTGTTCCTTTTTCTTTGTCTCTCCTTCCTCTCCTTCATTTTGTCGATTTGGTTTTTTTCCCTTATGATGGACAGGATGTTCTTGTCGCTTCCGATGGTGCACTCGCTGCGGTCTTTGGGGGCGCTCGCGCAACTTCCTTCGCTACTCCTGCTGCGGTTGCTGCGACTGCTGCGGCCACTTCCCGAGTTAGAAGAATCAGACAAATTTGCAATTTCATCTAAGTGGAATAGCTGTGCCAAGGTGGGACGCTCAGTGGAGGATGCCCTCAGAGGGGGTTCAACTGGGGCCGCTACAGCGGGCTCCGCTTCACCTGAAAGCTGTTGTAAAGGTGGCCTGTTCCCCACACACAGTCTCTTATGCAGAATGAGAAAATTGTTCAACTTGCGAAACAGTCCTGAAAAGTGCACATCAAATAAGGACTGCCTGAGCTGCTCATCCTGTTCTTCATTTATAATTTTGAAGAAAAGCAAAAGTATTTTTACAAAATAGGTAGCCATTTTATCTGAAGCATCACTGTCAATGCACTCCAATTCGATGAGTCCTGTGATGGTCGAGATGAACTCTGAGCAACATACACTACCATAGAATGGTGCACATACTTCAAGAGTCTCTTTTATATTTTGTAAATTCTTTTCATTTATTTCATCATCTTGTGTGTTATACAGTTCCTCCAGGATGCTCATTATTACGTGGTTCCCCAACCTCTTGTTTGACTTAAGGCACTTGTAAAAGGCTTTCTGTAGGTCCTCCTCAGTGATGCTATCGTACCTGGCTTCGCTGTTTACAAATTCTATTGGGAAGTAATAAAAGGCGATGTCGATGACTGATTTGAGGTACTGTGTTTCTTTGTGCAGGGTAAAGAGTGCACCTGGGTTTCGTTCCTGTGTGTCATTCATTTCCTCCTCTTCGTCGTCCGCCTCTTTGTCGTCCTCCTCCTTCTGCCCCCCCTTCTGCACCCCGTCCTCATGCGTTATGTACCCACTGCACAGAACCTGTATAATGTCGAACAGAACTAAAATGTTTCTAGGGTCCGACTCATTCTCGAGCTGCACCTGGATTTTGTCAATGAAGTTTGGAATGGCTACCATCTCGGTTCTAAACTCCTGCAAGGATATTAAAATGATGCGGTAACAATTCAGCCTTATGTTTTGCAGGTAGCTAGGGGCATGAATATGCTTAAATAGACTCTTCATTATCTTATACACAACACAGGCTTTTTTTTCTTTCTCCATTTCTTCCTCACATTCATCGTCCTCGTCTTCATCTTCGTCCTCCTCGTTATCACGTTGGAAGCCACCGCGCTCCTCATAATCGTCTTCCTCTTCTGCAGAGGCATCCGAATGGTAGAGTCCCCCGTTTTCCTTAAAAGTGGAATATGCTTCGTACTGGCTCCAATCATCCTTGTCACCGCCCGCATCGGCAACCCCATTTGGATGGTCACCCTTATCGACTTGACCAGACAGGTCGCCCCCCCCTGATGGGTGCTTTTTCTCCTTCCCACGCCTCGAACTGAATAAAACTCTATACGTTCTCTTCACGTCGCAGGAAAATTTCATCCCCTTCAAAATGTCCCTGTACCTCTCAAACATAATTAATATAAATCTGGTGACCCCATTGATGCAATGCCAGTCTTCAATTAACTTAATATAAAAAAGCACAAGGCATTCGATGTACTCTGTGTCTAACTCCACCACATTGATCTGTTCAAACAGGTCGGAAATTAAATTCACTGCAGACCCTCTCTTTAAATTTTCATTACAGAATAGGAATTTCTTGAGGGCACATATTATTTGTGTTAGTGTGCCATGTATGTTTTCCCTTTGTGTGTGATTTATCTTCATCAGGTCGATTAACTGCTTTACAATATCGGCTCTAATTTTGTTCACTTCCTTATCCTTCTTCCGCTCGTACATTAACTCCACTTTCTTTTCCTGGTTATAGCGAAACATCACCTTCTCGGGGGACACATATTCCTCCACGAGGGTCTCCACAACGGACTCAACTTTGACCTGTCCTTCGTCCATCTTGCTTTGGCACAGGAGCGGGGACAAAAGCAGTGGGTCGCTCAACTGACGTGCACCACTTTCCCGGGCCGCTTCAAGAAGAGCCAGTTAAGAATTTCAAGGGGGAAAAAACAACATGTGGGCTTAGACACATGCCCTGTCTTCGTCCACTTTCCCTGGTGTGTTTTTCTTTTTAAATCCACCCCTTTGCGTCGTTCATTTGGGATAAAAAACGAGGCGGCACCTTTTCACTTCCTATGAGTGGGCAACTGAGTGACCTCACCGCAGGAATGATATGCATAAGGTTGTGCTAAACAGAATACCTACTCTCCCCGCTTGCGCATCCTTATGCAGTGAGACTACAAAGGGGAAGGCGCAGAAATGGGCTCTTGCATGAGGGAAAAAGTATGCACAGCAGAACAACGCGCTTGTTTTTTTTCCTGCCTCGTTTAGGCGTCACTGTTCTATATAAATATGCCTCCCCAAAAAAAAAAAAAAAATACACAACAAAATTTCACAAAAGTGAAGAAACGGCGAAAGCACAAACTTTAGAACCCCTTTTAAAAAAATGAAACAAAAAAATGGATGCAGTGCTTTTTCTAAAGTGGTAGATACATTTCATGGTAGACTATTTTATTTTATTTTTTTTTTTTTTTTTACCCTTCCACGTGTTATAGTGTACCCCCCGCCTTTGCCTTGTCGGCCACGAGGTAGGTGATGTATGCTGTGTGCTGCCCGACGCCACACGGCCCTCGCTCGTTCGTCATTGAGAAAGGTTACAATTATATTGACCTCGATACAATGGTAAGCAAATTGTTAACATGTGCGTGAAGAGATCTTCCTGCCCCTTTTTTTCCGCCTTTTTCTTTTTTTTTACGCACTGTTTGTTGTTCAACCCTATGGAGTAAATCCATGACATGTTCATGCATTTACTTTTTTTTCCCACCCCCCCCTTCTCCAATCGCTACACCACTCTCTGTTGTGCCTCCTCTTCTCTTCAACGCTTAGAGTTTCCTTTCCTCCTTTGTGCATCCACACTGTCGACCTGCGGTGAATAAATTCAGTAGCAGAGTGATCATAACCATGACCCTTTCGCTTGCGCTAGGTACATGGGCTAGAATTCCCACAACCACCCCATAGGTGTCCCTCAAATGTACGCAAGTGTGCACCAGTGATAGTCAACTTATATGTTACACACAGAAGGGGTAAAGCTGGATGAGAGGTCATCCCTCCCCTCGTGCGAAAAAGCTCTCAAGGACTGAGTATACACCCGGATGAAGGGCACAAAAAAGGGAAATTACAATTTTTTTTTTTTGTGTGTGTGTGTTATGTAACCAACGAGAAGACTTACCCCCTCCCCTGAGTTATGAATTAACGCCTCGCTGCTTTCCCTTCAGTTCAAGACATCACCCATTTTTTATGTAGCCACGAGAGTGGTGCTCTCTGCTTGGACGTGGCGCTTTGTTCTGTGCAAAGCCGCCCATGAGCCAGTGGCGAGCACTTTTCGTTGGGGCCTAAACTGGTTGGGAGTTCCAGCTGGGCGAACTCCGCGTCAAATTAGCGGCACGTGTCTCGTCCCCTGCGAAAGGGCCAGCGCTTCCCCCCTTATTATGAGGACCGCACCGCCCCATCATGGCCAAGCGCATCGAGGGGGAGATCAAAAACATCATTGGGGACATTTACGTGTCGACGATCCTAATTAGCAGCAGCAGAATTGCAAAGAGAGAAGTGGCCCTGTTTTTAGGTATAAGCCTAAACGACCTGTTCCAGCCCTTCGGATGTTCCAACCACTTGGTGAATGACAAAAATGAACAAGTAGACCTAACCCTAAGTGGAGCTGTAAACATAAATTACTTAAACAAAAATAATGTCATATGCCAAAAGACAATAGAGTACGAGAAAATTAAGCTGCAATTTGTTAACCTTGAAGAATACATAGATGTGAAATTGGATTCATTGGACCGGCTCCTAATTGACACCATTTCTCACAATGAGCCTGATTACACAGACATATACAATGAAAGAAATTTAAGTGCTTATTTTGAGAAGAATAATGAAGACGGTGCAGAGCAGAGTGAAGACCATTTGAACTACATTTGTGCAAACTCGAATGCGTTAGCACCTGATGTGAAAAAAGAAGTTTTGAGGAAGCCCCCGGGGGGGGGAGGCTTCCCCTCTCACAGTGTGTACAGGCAAAGGGCGGGAGGACCAACCTTTTCTCCCGCGCACACACAATATGCTGCACATGCCGCACATGCCCCACATGCTACATCTACCACGCCCGCACTTGGACCCTGCACAGACAGGAAAGAATCCCTGTCGAACGTGCACAAATATAACGCCTTCTTCGTTCCGTGGTTTAGGACCTACTTTAAGACGGCCTGGAAGTACACACACATGTTTAGCGACAGCTCCTGTACCCCCCTAGGACTCATATACATTGGCAGCACCAGGGACGAAAACATAATTGATACATACAAAAGCATGATGCAGAAGGATTTAAAAAAGGAAAATGTGAATATACATAAACACATTCCCAAGTGCATAATTCTCCTTCACATCTCGAGCAACCACGATGATGACATAGAAACTGATGTGCAGAAATTGTTTGTAAAAATTCAATCCACCTTCCCCAACTTCAAATGCCATTTGCTTATTATCAAGGCCCATCGATTTTTGAATACGTGTGTGGGAGGAGGAGGAGGGGAGGAATTTGTACATGAGGCTGATACTGATAAGGGGCAGCATTTAGACGGTGTTGAATCTGTGCCTAGTGTGAGACGACACCCTTCTGATGATGAGCTAAACAGACAACGCTGTGAACAGCAAGGAGAGGCTAAAGTGAAAGAAAACTCCACCCAGCAGCTGTACTCCAAGGAAAGCGTCCTGGGGGATGAACGCTTATTATCCTACACGGAAATTAACTCCGTAAGGAAGAACAAGAACAAATTTTGTTCGCAAAAAAAACCTCACCATGTTCGATTAAATAGTATACAGGAGTTATATGCTGAAAACTTGGGTAGCCATTTTAATGACTCTGTTCAGGATGGAATAAAAGCGGCCACAAGCAATATCGAAATTGAGGAAATGAAAAAAGTGAAAAGAAATTTTTCCAATCATATGAGTTGTGTTTATGATTACATTTTGTCAGATGAAATTATATACATAAGTAAGAACGACCCTTTACATTTGGACGAAGATTATTTCTGCTGCTGCCTTGACCATGTAGATATTGTCTCCTTAAAAATGTTTTTTCATAACTTTGTGCAAATTTGTGTAATACCCTACATCAGCACAATGACCTACGACATCAACCACCTCATTTTGAAGAATCGGAAAACGTTAAGAAATCAGTTGAAGTTCATGTGGAAGAGAACAAAATTAAATTTTAGTTCAACTGATGCTGCTTTGTTGGTCGCCGAACAGACAGGCAGTGCTTTTCTCAATGCCACGCAAAATGTACTGGCGCACAGTATTGACCCCATAGGTGGGAGCAACGCTCTTCCTGGTAAGTACGCCCTGGAGGAAGAAAAAACTGCCCTTGGCGAAGACCAACAGAAAAGCATTCCAACCGACTATGCGTCAGTGCAAAGGAGCGCAAGTGGGGATTCGTCGAAGATGGGGGGAGGGCCCGATGTCCTCGTCGCAAGTGGAGCAGTTAACGCGGTTAACACCGCTAGTATGGCTAGCATGGCTAATACATGTAACAGCGGCAACACGGTTGACGTCTCTCCCATGGGGGAAGCGAAGAGCTACAAGAAGGAACCCCTGGAGTGGCTGTACAAAACCCTCAGCGATATCTACTTCATCCTGGGTGAGTACGAATTAGCCTACAACACACTAAAATTTTGCATCAACGAATTTAAGCATGAAAAATTGTATTTCTACTTAGGAAATATTTACAAACTTACGAGCCTTTCCATTTTCAGCATGGATGGCCAAGTGAACAAAAAGGATTCCCTGTACTACCTCGACCTCAGCTACCAAATGTTTTCAAAATGTCAACACCTCAACTACATGTTTATTTGCTCCATATTAAATTATTATTTGTCTCTTATTCATGATGAGAAGAATGAGGCATCGGTAAACATTTTAATAAACGCCAATGTGGATTTTACCTACCTGGACGAGAAACTCATTGAGGAAGGAAGACCCGTGGGGGGAGAAGGCAGACCCACCAAATTGTCCTTCCAAATTAACAATATAAGGTCTGGACTACTCCTAGAGCAAATAACCTACAGTTACAAGAAAAGGAAAAAAAAAAAAAAAAAAAAAAAAGGTGCACAATGTAGTAACGCATTGATCGGCATCATAAGCCCAGGAAATGAACAAGCCACCAATTCAGTTCATAAGAGTGATGAAGGTCTTGATGTGGACGGCTCTCAACGGGACATCACTACGATGGGAGAGCACCACCTGAACAGGCCATCTGAACATGCGCAAAAGCATGTGAGTGATGATAATATAACTTCTGGGGGAGCCCAACTGGGGGGCACATCACAGGAAGGCAATCAATCCCGTCACCCCTCGTTTGGACAAAGTTATAATGGACTTCAATACGAAGGGAATGAAAACAAAAGTGAGCACTCCCACCAGCGAAGACAAACCGTCGAGACGTTCACCAGCTCAGATGATTATGAGGAGGAGAGTCACCAAAGTGTAGGTCGAAAAAATCGCAGTGTACAAAATGCCCTCCTGCAAGATGACCAAGATGAGCAAATTGTTCAAAAAAAAAACGATTACAAGTGTAGGAAGTACCTATTCGAAATGACCCTGGCAGGACACACATTCAACAAATGTGGATTTAAGAAATTGGCCCTGTTTTGTTACTCCAAGGTTTTAAAAAAATATGAAAAAAAAAAAATGAAACACATTTATGAGCACTTGCATTTTATGATGGCTCGCCAAGCATTCAGTATCAATTTGTACTACGAGGCACTCAACCACTACATCTGCATTTTGAATTCCATCGCCAAGAGCTTCGAACAGTCCTACGTCCTGAATGGACATGTAGATCTGTACTGTGCCTCACCGGATAAAGAAATTAACTTCATTAGGGAGTTTGCCTACGTGTACAAAATTTATGTGGACCGAGTTTTGAACAGGTTCTTCAGGAGGATGAGGGATCGGGGTGCCCAGCAAGGAACACACGAGGGTAATCAAATGGATTCAATGGACGACTCGATGGGCGAACCGCATCAAGCTTCATCAAACCAAACCTCACACAACCATACGTCGCCAAACCGAATGATGTACTTCCAGGAGGACAACGAACAAAACATAATAAAACCCCTCAACCTCCGAATCCCCCTCCTACACATAAGGGACGATGAAGGTTGCTTCTTAAACTCCATTCATGTAACCAAAACTAACATTTATACATACCAAAACAGAATCGAAACTAACTTCTTCAACATCATCAAGGAGTGTCTGTTTAAAATGAAAACGTATGACACGACAATTGATGACCTGTACACCATCATGGCCAAGGAGTTTAATAATTTATCTGTATCGAATCTTCACGAGCTGAATTACCTCCACGTCACATGTAAGAAATTTATAAATAGTGTTTTCAACGATTGTATTGAGTGTTCTTCGTGCGAGTTTCCCTTTTGTGATGGTGAATCTTCCGCGGGGGCTACCTGTACTGAAGGCAAGACGCATAACAACGCCATGTACACGCCAGGGGACACACCCATCATCAAGTCGATCAACACAACCCCATTCCTAAGCTCAAGCAGCAAAGAATGCTTCACCACGTACGTGCGCGAACTAAAGAAAAAATTTACCAACTGCCTCCCCCTCATGCAGTCTGTAGGAGGGAAAAATATATATCAGAGGTCCGCAACCAAAGAGGAAACAATGGTAAACACCAAGTTCGTTCAGTACGCTTCGAAGGGGGAGTACATATTTGTCACTTTTAAGTTGGTGAATCCTCTGCACACGAAGGTGGAATGCCAGGGTGCTCACATCTGCGCGCACTACCATAACGAAGGCATGAATAGCGACATCGAGGTTGAGAAGAGGGTAATAATTTTGGAGGCCAGGGAGACCAGGGTGTTCACTCTCTTCCTGCGCCCGCAGAAGAGGGGCTTGCTGTTCATTTCAGGTAAGAGCGAGAGGAGGGCCAGTTTAAAAAAGAGGCTGTGTGAATTGGTGATTAGTGAGAAGGACGTATTCGCGTGTGCCTCTGAATGACACGCATGTCACTTCTCAATCTGTTCCTCTCACATCCGCATACCGCCCACTTGCACCCTGCTTAGGAATAACGTGGCACCTGTTTGGCCTCGTCAAGGTACACCAGAACTTCTTCGCACATGGCATGAAGAAATTAAACAAAAAGTTCGACCGCATGCACACCATCAAGTACGACGAAGTGTACAACTGCGATGGTAAGGAGGATAAAAAGCAAAGTGTAAAGAAGCTCAACAAGGAAATTAACTCATACACTTGGTCTAGCAACATAGGAATGCCAGAAGGGAACAGCTCAGACAAAATGAAGCAGTACGAGGTGGACAACAGACTGCTCCTCTACATCTACGACAACACATATCATTTCTCCTTCCAATTTGAAAACATCCGTTCGGGGGAGAAGCGAGACGTCAACAACTACGAGGTAGATTTTGTGGAGCTTCTGGAAGGTGAACAGTTTGAGATGGTCCTCACAGCTGTTAACCATTCAACCATGCCAGTGAACTACCTAAGTTTGTGCATAACCCCGTCCAGCCTTTTCAACTGCTATAAGGTAGTACATAACGAAGAGGAGTACCTACTTGGGGAACCTCCAAATGTACAACGTATGCTACACCATGATGAGGGAAAGCACGAACATACGTGTGGAGCGTTCCCTCAAGAGAAGAACGCACAGGTGGAGGAAAAATTGCACCCAAATGAACTGAACTCCAAGAGGACAAGGCTCTCCATAGTTGCCGACCTGTATACTGAAGAGGCACTACGTGAAGACACCAATGTGTTTAGACAAAAATTTAAAAACAAACAAATTCAGCACATAAAGATCAGTGGAGATATTTTCCCAAATGACGTTTTTTACCTGCACGTTCAGGTAAAATCGAACTGTACAGGGATGCACAAATGTATGATAACAGCTTTGTGTAAACATAAAAATGAAGAGATTAAAGTGGGAGGAGATGACACACGCATGAAGAAGAAAAAAGAAAGTTCCCTAAGTTATCCAGAAATGTTTATCGAGAGAAAGGAAAAATGTTTTTTATTTCTAAGGCTGTTGCATGTCGTTCCTTTGGTCAGGCTAAGTACATACATCCTTAACCCTTGCCATGGTCCAAATTCGTTCATTTATTTCTTCATGCACAACTTGTGCAGGAGTGATATTTACATGAACAATATACTTTTGGAGCGTGAGAAAGGACCTCCTTCTCTCACCCATGAAAAGGGTCCTCTTCAAAAAAAAGAAGATATGCATGCCAGTTCGACCTTCACCAATTTGATTACCGTGCATGCGTCCGATTTTGTGTACCTGAGAAGAGGAGAAAAATCCACGGCGCTTCTCTGCGCTAGGGGAGCTTCTCCAAACGTAGCATTGAACGTGTCGCGAAACACCCCGCAGAATGCAGCCCCTGTCGCTGTCCACATGAACTGGGTTGTGAAGGATGGAACACACACCCGCAAGGGATACATGAAAAAGGAAATCCACTTCCCCACCGATATAGTAACCCTCTCAGTGGATCAAACGAATAGAGATATTTACCTGAATGATCAAAAGGAAAAAAATTTTAAAATAGCGATCAACATTCAGAACAACTCAGGAGAAGACCTTACTAATTTTTATGTGCAAGCTCAAGAGGTGAACTCCATGAATTCAGCTCTCTCCATGGACTGTTACGATAATGAAGAGGGACATGAGTTGGAAGTTCCCTTGTTGGACGTTCCCGAGGCGGGTGTCGATGCGGGGGAGAATGTGGACATACGCAGCTGCCCAAATGAGTTGGGGGTCTTCCAAATCGATCAGATGTTGGAGAACAAAGGCGGATGTGATGGGGTCATCCCCCAATGTGGTATGGACGAAACAAAAGGACAAGCGAGCGTCCCTCATTTCTCCTACCAGTCCGCGCTTAACGACGAAATAAGTATTGCACAGAACAGCGTCACGCGCAAAATCAAGTTGTACAGTTACAACCCTATAAGTGCAAGCTACCGATGGGATGGTAATTTTGAGGTAAGCATGTCAACGGGGTTACTTGAAACCAGCTGTCTCCAGGATGAGGTGAATGGGGATAGCGAATCTTTCAACGAAGGGGTCGCCGAAAGGAACGACATGATATTCGAGGCAGCTAACTCGATGGAAAAAAGAAACCGCTGCACGGATAAAATAACCAGGAGGTTCCACCAAACCGTACGGGATAACACATACGTGCAAATCAACAACTGCGAAAACGACCTCCAATGCATCCCATTGGGCAGAAATCTCTCATCAACAAAAGTGCCAAAGCAGAAAGACACAGGAAGAAGGGCCCTCTCATTAAGCGGCTTTCTCTTCATGGGAATTGTCCAACGGTATATAAAAAGATTGAAAAAAGGAAAAAGCAAAAAATTATATTTTAATGTCCTCTTTACTAGGGAGGGAATCTACAACATAAATAAATTTCATGTTGTTTTCGAAGTGCATAATCAGACGTTCATGGTGCAGCCGCTTAATCAATTAATTGTTCAGGTGCACCGGTGAGGATAGAAAATTGGTCTTGTGCGGTTGCGCAGAAAAGTTTTTTTTTTCCCTTCATTTGGGTAGCATCCATCGGCCGTACACCCTGAATGAACTGTGTATTCGTACGTCTTTGCGTGTGCCAGACTGCCCATTTGTGGCGAGGTACGCTTCCACCAGTCGGAGGTGCTTTTTTTGTGATAACCCTTTTCAGTTGCGTTGCGCGGCGCTTCGTCCTAACCGGAACAATCGCGCGGTTAACCCTGCAAAAGGTACAGCCTACAGAGTTAATACACACCTTTTCCCGTTTTGAAAATCAAATAACACAAATTAATTTTTTTTAAATGGAATTATTCTTACACTTTACAGGGGTGGGGGTGAAAAAACAAAATTGTTTTCATCCGCGGGGCTCGTCTTACGAATGGACCGGGTTTGCGATACGCCCCCTCACCTGATGACCGCGGTTGACTCTGCAGAGTTAGCTTAGCCACTATGGTGGACGCGGAAAAATCTGAACCGCAAAAAAAACAAAATAAAACAGACAAAAGAAATACGCGCATATGGACATGTGTATGCAGTACTTACACATAGTCAACTGTGTATGCGCACTTGCCCTGTTCCCGTCCGCACTTCCTGCCATGTGCTCATCCACAGGCGTTTATACTCATGGGGCCAACCCGCCCACAGCATCGGCTTTAAAAGTGGCGAAATGTGGCTCCCCGTGAGTAGTTGCCAATGCGATTGCGAAAAAAAAAAAAAAAAAAAAAAAAAAATGATATGCAAATTGTAACACACGAGTACAAATGTATGCAGCTCGTGTCCGTGCTCAGTCCATGTTGGCACTTCTGTTCACATTCATTTTGCGTACCTGTACGCGTTTTTTTTTTTTTTCCCCTTTTTTGCGTGCTTTTTGTGCGCATGGCATGCATATCCACGGGCGGTAGATGTACGCTTTTACGCGCACTTATGGGTGTTTATGCTTGCATGCATATATAATGCGTACACCTTTCTGAATACGCCACTGGCCACTTAGGGAAACGCGATCCCAAAACGGGGTTTGGTTGGTAGCGCGGGAACAAAAACATGGTCAGTTTTTTTTTTTTTTAGAATGAAGAATTCTTAACTGTTTTAAATTTTGACCCCCTTCTTGCAAAACATTTCTTGCATCTGTGCTTCGCTTTATTTATTTTTTTTTTTTTGCTTTTATACCAACGCTTATTCGTTTTTGCCTTTTACGTTTGCCCTTTTTGCCGTGTTGCTGTTTTACTTTTTTGCCTTGACCATTTTGCTGCTTTCCTTCATGCGTGTTCTTTTATGCATATGTATATGTATGTACATATATATATATTTTTTTTGCTCCCTTTGTGTGTGTACTAGTTGATCCTTTCGAATCCTTTTCAGCGCGCAAACATGCGTATCTGCATGCTCGCCTAATGGGGCACGTGCGGGAAAAGATCCCCTCTAGCGCATGTACACGTATGCATGTGTGCATGTGCCTAGTGCGTGTGGGCATATAAACGTATTTGCCTTTGTTCACACGGTTACCTGTTCTGACGTGGCTCCTGTGGCTGTGCCATTCTGCCTCTTTGCAGATTTTTGGTGCAAATAGGAAGTCACGTTGGACAGCCCGCTTGTTCGTCGGTTGTTTGTCTCTGTCGCCGTGTGCTTCCTTTGCTCACCAATTTTGTTTACGCCCATTTGGCTGCTGCCACTCACCGCTCCCTTCCCCGCGCGCCCAATGGATTCCTACAACGACATCCTGAGCATCGTAGTGGACTTGGGTTTTGAGAATACAAAAATAGGCTACGCAGGGGATGACAACCCAACGAATATATTTAGCTCAAATGTGGGGGTTCCACTTGATCTGGAAGATAAAATAAAAAATGAAATTTATAAAAAATGCCTTTGCACCAAGGGAGAGTTTTACCAATTCAACCTTATTTACCCCCTGTGCTATTTGGAGGCTCTGGAAGATGCCAAGGTGAAGCCCTGTCTCTACCTGGACAATAAGAACCACTTTGACATGAACGAAGATGTGTTCGAAAAAATTCTCTTTATGAATGTGAACGGGGGTCGGTGTGTGAACCAGCTGTTGCAGAAGAGGATTAAGATGTTCATAGGAAACAAGCTGCACAAGCAGAGCGATATGGCCAGCGAGTTCGTCGACCAGGGTGATGTAGTAGTAGGAGACGCTGTGGATGCTGCGGGGGCCCCGCACAGTGTTGACGAACACGAATTAGGCTCCGACTCGGGGGGGTGGCTCCCGAACGAGCAAGGGGGTGCGGAATGTACCGATGTGACCTCCGAAAACGACTCCACATCGACGGAGCTAAAAACACTGAAAGAGTGGGCGGAGGAAAACAACTACTTTGATATTAACCTAATTGAAAACAAGCTCATAGATGTAAATGGCATAAGGAGCATGCTACACAATCACAACCATCTCTCTTGTGGGCTCAATGAGGAGATGGAAAAATTCCCCTACCTCTTTTCCCTCCCCAACAAAAGAAACCAAAAGATAAAGGCAAAAATATCGGAGCTGTTATTCGAAAAGTACAAAGTGCCCGCCTTGTACTTTAACTCCAAATCTGTATTAACCGGATTTGCCTACAACAAAAATATTTGCTCTGTAATAGACGTAGGGTCTTGCTACACGGACTTCTCCCTCTGTAATGAAGGAAGTATAGAAGATAACAATTATAAAATTTACAATCTAGGGGGTTCTACGGTAGATTACTTTTTGGAACAACTGCTAGAAAAACACAACAAAGAATATTGCATCCCGTATTATGAAGTTTATAAAAAAAAAAATGGACACACTCCTAATTATAATAAAGACAGGGTTCATGAGGACTACTACAACAAAGCTAAGTATATTCCTCTGAAGGATTTAAAAAGTTACTTATGTGAAGTAGCTCATAGCGAAAATGAAATTCAAGACGCCAAAAATATGAATTTCAAGGATGATGTTGATGCAGCATACATTTTGCCTGATGGGCAAAATATTAACATTACCAAATTTAATAACATTGCTTGTGAAATATTTTTTACTCCCTCTTTATTAAGTAATACAAAGTTGAATCATCATTTGAACAATTTATTTTTCAGCGATGAACAATTTGAAGGAGTCGCCACCACACTCTTTAATATGCTTAATGGGAACAACGTGAAGCAGAAGGAAGAGTTGCTACGAAACGTCATTTTAACTGGCTCCTCAACCTTGTTTGATAATTTTAATCTAAGGTTTATTAAAGAGTTCAACCAACTGGACTTGCTCAACAACTCCAATTTACAAAACTTCCAGGTGCTCAGCCACGGCAAGTACGACAAGCAGTATTCTTCTTGGAAGGGTGGCAGCATCCTGTCTTCCTTCAAAAACTTCAACTCCTTTTTTGTTACGCGCCGGGAGTATGAGGAGTTCGGCATGGACATCGTCCACCGAAAGTGCTAGTCAGCGTACGTTTCCTTGTATGGATGCTTCCACCCGTCGAACATCGCGCCCTGATGTGTATCTCTGAATGAAGAGAGTGTAACCATATTTTTTGCCTTTTTTTTTTTTTCCGTTTCACATTTTGCACATTCTCATTAGCGATATGTGCTTTTTCAGATGAAGAGGGGTGGGGACAGCACGTTGCGTATTTTTAAAGTAGTTTGTTACGCGACCTCCTTGTGGGGGAGGCCCCAACCATCTCCCCGTTCAAAGTTCATTTTTTTTTTATGTTCATTTTTAATCCGTTCTTTATACCCCCTTTTTTTTTTTTACCCTTATTTTTTTTTTTGTGACTACGCTGGTGGGGAGGGAGAATATGCACCTGAAAAATATGATGAGCTGATGATGTGTCCGGGGAGCAAAAGCACACACGTGTGGCACACCAGCGTTTTTGCGCCGCTGTTCTGTCCATTCCGTTTGTGCGCCCACACGTCTGCCTTTTTTTTTTTTTTTCGCTTTTTTATACCTCCCGTTTCGCGTCTTCCCTTTTGTGCATCGTCGCGGACTCTCCCCCCCCCTTGCTTGCATTTGTGCACCCCCCTTTTTTCGTTTCCCCAATTATCGAAATTTTTTGTGAATATCCCCTTGTGCGTGTTGCAAATGATAAAAAAAAAAAAATGAAAAAGTTAAAATGCGTAAACAGAGAAAAAGCAACAAATTTGCAAAAAGAACAAAGTAGCAAAGCACAAAGCGCAGAAACAAGAATAACGAAACGAACGAGGCAAACCCGCACAATGTGGAACAAAAACCCTCATGAGCAGATAAAATGAGCGGGCGAAACGAACAAGCAACATAAGCTACTGTGCTTGTGCGAAGAGGAACGAAAGCGGCAGTTCACCGAGAAAGGGCCACGCGCGCGTGTGTTATGTATATGTGTGCAGTTCTATGTGTACATATACACATGCTCACACATGTGCGTAGTGCACTTGCCTGTGCAGAAAAGTTTGCACAAAATTTTATAACACGCTGCCGAGTGAGGGCAAGACAAGAGTGCCCCCGGTGTGGAAACCCAAGCCGTTCCGTTACCTCATCACCACGTTTCCTCGGTCGTTTTTCTTGGTCCTTCCTTAAAGGAGGCCCCTTCGGGTAGTCTACACACCCGCGCATGTGTTTATTTTTTCTTAACCTAAGAGATACTCTTTATGATGAGAACGGACATGTTCGTAACGAACAGTCCTCACATGAATGTATTTTTTTTTTTTTTTTTTTTTTTTTTTTTTTTTTTAGCTAGTCGGCTGTGAGAGAAAAGTTGTCACCGGTGTGATACCTTTTTCCCCTCTCACATGCAAAGTTATATCTACATCAGCATACTTGAAGGAGTGAAGTTGCATGTAGCATATTATTTTTTACTTTGTCCCGTTAAACGGATAACGCCTTCTTGCATTGTTTTCTTTTTTCTTTTCTTTTTTTTTTTTTTTTCGCTGTTAAGTTGTGACTTCCTATTATGCTCCGACGCGGTGGCCGTGTGGACTCAACTTAGAATAACATTTACCCAACTGGAGACGTGCGTAGTGAGCGACGAGCGGTGAATGGGATAGCTACTTCCTTTGAACACCTGGCAAGTTATCCCTCATGTCGGCGGAGACTCCGGATTGCACTCTGCAGATGTGTGAACAAATGTATATGAAGGGATGATCAGGCGGCGATGTGAGAAAGCCCCAAGGGTGCGATAGTTCCATTGTGAAGAAGCTGCTAGGCTGCACATCGACATGTTAGATGTAGTCCAGAGCCCGTGCAACCCTCCTGATCTGCCTTTTTCTCGCACCCGCTCCCTATGTATGTATACCCCCCCCTTGTGAGACTGCACATGGACCCTTAAAGGAAAGCGACAAATAGCTAATCGGTCATGTCCGCCCCCAACTCGTTTCGCTTCATAAGAGGGTACAAAAAATGGAGGGAGCGCAATCTGCCCTTCGGCACAGATTGCAGTTCAAGGGTGGGCATGTAGCAGCAAATGGGGAAGCAAAGGTAAGCACAGACGACCCGGCCAGCGAAGACGACGCGAGCTCCCCTTACGTAAAGAACACCCTCATTAAGGTAACCCTCTTCGTAGTACTCATAGTGCACACACTGCTGATCTATCTAACCATAAAAACAATGAAGATGGAAAAGATAAACCACAAACTGAAGGAAGAGAGTATCATTTTCATCACAGAAGTAATAAAGTTAATAATCTCGAGCTTCTTCTATCTGCAAGAGAATAAATTTAATATAAAGTTGGTGCGAGACAACATCACTGATGCATTAACGAAGAAAAGGAGTTACGTCGTCGCCCTAACCATACCCAGCATCATGTACTACTTTCAAAACATTTTTTTCTACATCTCCATGTCGAGCATTCCCATGCCCTTGTTCCAGCTGCTATACCAATTTAGGATCCTCGTAGTGGTTATTTTCACTTATATTATTTTAAAGAGGAGAGTAAAAATATCGCAACTCATTTCGATCGTCTTGCTATTCCTGTCGCTCGTGTGTCTGAAGGACTACAACCCCTGGAACGATGCTCATAATTGGGGTAGCGGAAATGTACCTAGTAAAGGCAACGACGTGGAAGACCTGAGGAGAATTTTATTTTATAGAGTAAAGACAAAATCTCTGAATAGGAACACCCCATTTGTTTTTTCTACCCTTTTGAGGGAATTAAAAAAAAGGAAAGTGTCGCTACATATGTTGAACAAAAATGAGTGCCCCCACTTGCTGTCTAACGCTGACGCTGACCCAGCTTCCGAGAAAAATTACTACGACCTTGTAAATTATTCGCGGACAGTATCAACACGCGGGGACAAAAATCACGTGGAACCATGCAAGGTCAGGACTACAACGAGGGATGCTACACCTCCATATGGCCATCCCTCCCAGCATGAATACTACCACCACCCCCATAACATGGTGAAGACGAACACTACACAAAATAAAATCATAATAGGTGTGCTGACAACCTTTTTAGCAACCTTCACCAGTGGGTTCTCTAGCGTTTTCCTAGAGTCACTCTACCTCAACTATAGGTACTCCTTTTGGTTCCAGAATATGTGCCTGGCCTTCTTCACCATCATTTTGAGCCTCTCCACCAGTCACCTGGACATATCATCATTGTTCAGGGGGGTTCCCCGAGGGGGGGAAGACGTCATGAAGGAAAACTGCACCAACGAAACGCACCGTCCAATGTGTGCACCCCGCGACGGGCAGGAACAACCAGATGACGGGCCTCCACCAAACGAAGTCACTTCTTTCCCTTTTAACCATTTTAACTCGCTAAGGGAGTTCCTATACGTTGCCCTGCTGATAACCCTAAACAGCGTCGGCGGTATTATAACTTCCGTTTATGTAAAACACGTGGGGAGCTTCTCCCGCTTCTTTGTCACTCCATTCAGTTTGTTATTTAATACATATATATCCTCCATTTATTTTAAAGATTTTCGCTTCACGATGAATTACTTCATTTCGCTGGTGTTTGTTTTTTTCTCTTTGTTCTTTTACTTCAGGGGACACTCCTAGGATGGGTGCAAAGGGGGGGCAGGAGGCGTGCCAACCGACATGCGCGTATCCGCTGCGTATTGGCTGTTTATCTGCCGCCCCTCCAATTTTGTCCTTTTTTTTTTTTTTTCACCCCAGAGGTGTGCACTCGTCGCCGGTCCTCTGTGTGCCCCTCGTGTTCCTATTTGGTCCCCGACGAGGATTCACATTTGTTACACGTCTTTTTAATTAACTTACGCATTAAAAGTTAAAAAAATTTTGTTAATGGGAAAACCATGGGGTGGTCGATGGGCCACACGACTGCAGGTCACCAACACGGTTGTGTCACAAATTTCGTGCATTGTACACACACGGAGGAGCGCAAAAGGGGTCATACACGATGCATGCGCTTGGTGGGAGACGGCACGGTGCACATGATACAAAATAGCGGCTCCTTGCTTATATTGCGAACAACGACTCAGCGCATACACTACGAATCCTCGTCGGTGGAGTCCTTGCCGCCCTTGGCAGACTTCCCTCCCCCTTTGGAGGCCTCCTCCCGCTTGCGCCTGTTCTTGCCCCAAATTTTCTTCTTGTAATTCAAGACGTTACGGCCAAACTTAAGTTCGTTCTTCACATTCAAAAGGTCATGAGCGGAGTCTTTGCTTCTGAACCGTTCCTGTGGTCCCACCCCTGTAGAGGCATCGCCAGTACCCTTATCAGTCCCACCAGGGGAAAACAACCTCTTGATGGAGTCACTCTTCTTGCTGAGGACACCTTTCCTCTCCGCACTTTTTGAATTTTTTTCCCGTTCGATCTGCTCAAACATATCTTTGTAGAGGACAGGTAACCATTCCATAGGGTACGCCGAACTGAAGTCTCGTATTTCATCCATGTCAATATTTTTCTTCTTCATTCTTTCATCACGTAGAGCCTCCCTCTTTTGCAAATACTCATTTAGTTGCCTCTCGTACACCTCCTTATGAGTAGCGTTTTCTCCCTGTTGCCACATGCCCACTTCACATATTTTTCGAATAACTCTCGGCTTCTGTACAGTGGAATAATAAATCATTCTCAAGTGGGCCAGTTCTTCTTTAGTATACTTGTTACATTTATATATGTATTCATGTAGTCGTAGAAACTCTTTCATTGTTTGTTGACTCTTCTTGTCCTTTGTGTCAATCAGGTTGGTGTGTTTCCTTATTATAAGAGCAGCTTTAGTCAGGTCTTTTTCCTTTACATAGTGATGAAATAATTCATTCACTCTTTGTTTTTCCTTGGGGTCATATTTTATAGGTTCATTTAAACAAGGGGTAAGTTTTTCTGGGTCTAATGTCATTTTTGCATTCCTGTATATTTTCCTCTCTTCGTTCCTTTTAACACTTTCGTGTTTCCTAAATGCTTCAAAAATCTTATTTGCCTTCATGCTTATTATTTTTGTGTACAGCAGTTGTACCTTCTGGAGCTTGATGTTCTTAGGGTACTTTTCGAACCTCTGCATGAGCTCCTTGTACTTGTTCGTGGACTCGATGATTTTGTAATCGTAGGACATGTGTTTGTACTTTTGCTCGTAGTTGGTGTCCCGCCCGTCGTCGTATATCTCGTTCTCGCCGCTGACCTCGCCGCTGACCCCCCCACTGCTAACCTCCCCACTGCTAACCTCCCCACTGCTAACCTCCCCACTGCTATGAACCGTGTGGGTGGCCTCCCCCGCGGGCTGCCCGGCCAGGAACGCTCGCTCCAACCCCTGGCAATGTTCATCCAACTCGTTATACTTATATTTGAAGTTCAAAAAATCGACGTTCTTGTCATTGGCATACTGGAAGAGGTAGGTCTTCAACAGCTTGGAGAGGATGAGGTCTACGTTGTCCTCGGTGGGGTACACATAATGCAGGTGATTGAAAAAGATATAAGGCAAGCTGTTCAACATTTGAAATGACTCCTCTTTCGTCAGAACATTTCTGTTTTCATTTAAAATTCTGTGACATGTATTTATATCATCGTGGTAAAGGAAAAAGTAAAATTGCTTCTTCAACACATTGCGGTCATATATTTGTCCATACAGGTCGTCAATGGCCCGTATGTCGACTTCTTTTTTACTCCTCAATCTCGTTTTGTAATTAATATACGTCACATTGAACTTGCGCAGGATGTCTTCGTAGTCTGTGCTGTACTCCCTCGGGTACAATTTCCTATCCACCGTGATCACTGGCATTTTGGCTCCCAGCCTGAAAAAAACAGATCTGTGAACCCTACACCCTTGCCTCATCAAATTCATACCCTTATTTCGATGCACTGTACCCGGGATGCTCATCTCACTACTCTTTTGGACCCACCCATGATTGTTGCCCCACAAGCAAGAGGAAGAAAGCACCTCTGGGTACTCACTAAAAAAAAGGGATATCTCTCGTGGGGTGGTGGGGTTACTCCCTCGGGTGAAGTCCAATCCGTCCTGCACATTCTTCCTCTCCTTTCCTGCAGCAATACATCTGATGAATCCTTCTTTCCCTTTTCTAATACGTAATGGAAAGTTGAGCCCCCTTTCTAACCTGCCCATCTTCAACAATTTCGCCTTCTCCGTTGCGAACACCCCGCTTACCCGTTCGCCAATCAGTCCTGTCCCGCACATGCAGAACAGCAGAGTGAGCACTCGCCGGACTCCCATTTTTAAACCATGCTGCTCGGGGCCTCTCAACAGGCGTAAGGACACACAGATCAAAGTTAATGCTCACCCCCAACCAAGCCGAGTGAGCACTTCCTTGGGTTGCCATTCACGAGGGAGGGGAACGAGAAGAAGGAGAAGAAGCAGAAGGGAGGCAGGGCTTCCAAATATATGACTTCTTCTCCTTGCCATGATGCGCAAACCAGTGGACCTTCACAAATGACGCCTTGGGAAGGGGCACAAGGGCACCTTTACAAAAACGCGTCGGTGTTGCAAGAACAAAACAAAAAAAAAAAAAATAAATAAAAATGAAATAATAATTTCGCCAAGCATGCATTTTCTCTGCCTCCGTATTTCATCCCCGCACCGCTACCGCCAACACGTTTGAACAGCGGGGTAGTGTTAACACGCGTGTGCTTTTCCAATAGTCCGGAAAATTTGCCAAGTGAAATGGCTCCATGAGGTGTGGGTGTGCCCTTGTGGTTACTCTCCCGAGTCACTTCCCCTCCTCCCCACATAATGACACATATACCCAAAGTGGAGGGGCGCATTTAATGGGCAGTTGTGAGGATATTTTTCAGATCGTTCATCGGGGCCGGGCTATAATTACGAACAGGAAAAAAGCGCAGTCAAATGAACGGGGTTCCTTTATTTCCCCCAAAAGTGTGTACCACGCCACAGGGGGTATTACACACACGGGGTGGATGGCGAACCGGCTGCTACCGCAGAGCAATGCGCAGCGGGGATGAATCAGCCGCCAGGTGTGATGAAGAAAGTGAAGTGGAAGAGACCCTCAAAAAGGGGTGTATTAAAATTTAGTCTTCTTCAAAATGGAGTTTTTAAAAGGGGGGAGATTGTTTGGGCGTTTCTCTTTGCCAAATTTGACCACGCCCCGGAAGCCGGGTCCGTTCCCCAATTTGGTTATGAATACTATATGAAGAATGTTATCGCCATAGAGGAAAGGAAAAAAAAAAAAAAAAAAAAAAAAAAATATATTAAAGCGTTGAGTTCGGGGTGCAAACGTGTGATGATATATCCTGGAGGCACACTCCCAAAGTGACAAAAGGTAGTGGGTGGGATTTCCACATGATAAATGAGCTACATCGGTTCGGCGCTGCGAAAGGTGCAACTGGTAAAGCCATGGGGGGGGGGTAGAAGACTACCCGGACGAGATGCCCTTTTTTGGTGGCGCCGCGAAATTCACTAGGGACGCACGAACGGAGCAAACTGATGCACCGCCCTCGCGTATCATCCTCTACTTACTTCGAGCCCCATCACGAGGCGAACTCGGCCCGGTACCTACGGAAGAGGGCACCCAACTTTTCATTGTCAGGGGCACTGAGCAGGGAGCGTACAATATTCTTGTACTTAATAATTTTGCAAAATTCGTCCGTTACGTTCTCAAACAGAGTGGACTTCTCATGGGCTAAGTCGATAATTTCTTTCGGCAGACCAGCTAGCTTTGCAATGTGAATACCAAAAGACTTGGGGCAAACTCCCTTAATAAATTTATATAAAAAAATGATCTTCTCCTGATGATCGTCTATACTTAAGCTCATGTGATAGTTTGAAATTTTTTTATTGTGTTTGACTTCCTCCACTAGGAGATGGTAATGAGTGGAGAATATGCACCTGCATTTTATCACATCTGCAATTTGTTCTAAAGTGGACAAGGCAATGGCAGTGCCATCAAAGGAAGATGTTCCTCTCCCGAGCTCATCCAGTATAGCTAAACTGTATTTTGTGCTCTGCTTTAACATGTTCGAAATATCTTCCAACTCCACAAGGAAGGTACTTTTTCCTTCGAACAAATTATCACTAGATCCTAGTCGAGTAAAAATTTTGTCAACCACAGTCAGTTCGCAGTAGGTAGATGGGACGAAGGCTCCAATTTGGGCCAGAATGATGGAAATGGCTGTTTGTCTTAGCAAAGTGCTTTTTCCACCCATGTTAGGTCCTGTGAGGAGTAGCGTGGTCTGATTTTCCTGCTTGCAACCCATGTATATATTGTTCGAAATAAAGTTAGGCATAAGTGTGGCCACCACCGGGTGAATATTATTTTCGAGGATGAGAAAGGGTTCACTTCCTTTACTTTCCACATTGCGCCCCATTGCACTTACGGCGCTCCTACTCGTTTCGCTAATATCTCCTATATCATCATCGCTACCCTCCTCGGCATTTTCATTACTCCTCATGGGGTGCAGAACAGGGCGCGTTAGAGCAAAGGGCGTGTTCAAAGCCACAAAAGCAAAGGCTTGAAGACAGTCCAACTCAGACACCAATCTGCATGCAGAAACATATTTCTCGTAGTGAGCATAGAACAAATGAAATATTTTTTTAAAGAAGGGATAAATGGCGTCCTTCTTTTCCTGGTCTATATCTTCAAGCATCCCAACACATTGCTTTATCTCATCATTGTGAAATCGAATAAATCCTTTTTTAGCAGATGTGATTTCCACATTCTTTAGAAAAACTTTAGGGACATTTTCCGGACACTCCACTTCATATTTATACTTGGCATTTACATATTTGAGTGAGGATATTTTCATAGTCTTTTTCATCCTTGTTAAAATATTATTCAATTCACCTTCCACTTCTTTCTCCCTATTGTTAATCATATCAATCGTTTCATCACACCCCTCCGCTGGCTTATATTCCTTGTCCCCATCAAATTCAATTTTTTTTAAAAACTCGGTAGTTATTTGTTCTATGTTAGGATAGCTCCCTTGTATATTCCTCACTAAGCTTTTCCTATCTGGGGTATTACTAATTTCAAACAACCTCTTGGGTAACTCCTCTTCATCCTTTTCAATGCTATTAATTTCGATTAACATACTTCCAATTTCTTTAAAGGCATTTAAAAAAGTCATGAATTCTTTCAGCTTGGTACTAACTACATTGTCAAAAAAGACAGCTCCTCTTTCGCTCTGAGATGCTTGAATACAAATTTTGTTCAACAGTCTTTCTATGTCTGGTAGCTTCTTCAACTTCAATCGGATAAGGGATAATATATGTTCGTTTTTTTTTAAAAATTCTACCACATCTAGTCGTTCATTTATCTTTGAGCAATCGAGTAGTGGGCTACAAATCCATCGCCTCATATTTCTCGCCCCAAAATTAGTACATGTTTTGTTTACATAATCGAAAAGAGAATTTTTCATTTTCCCAGATTGAGTCTCCAAAATTTCCAAATGCTTTAACGCTGTTGCATCTAGAACCATATAATTTTCCCTCTTAAAAAGATCATAATGTTCAATTTTGCAAAAGCGAAAAATTTTCTTATCGAGTAAAAGTGACCTCAGATAAACGATGAACCCACCAAATGCACAAATCACACTGTTTTGTTCTTTATGCATTTCTAAACTTGGAGGAATGGTCTCAAAATATTTCCGTATCTCATCTAAAGAGGCAATTATATTTGGAAAAGAACTCACAGCTGTTAATTCTGGTTCCGCTGGAATATTTTTGAAAATGGACAATACCTCCTTATTTATATTTTTAGAAGCGTATAGAATTTCTGCTGGACATAGCTGAGCAAGAATTGTTCTAAGCTCAATACGTGACTCATCGTCATTACAATACCCTACTGCGATGTACGATGTAGCAATGTCACTCACAACAAAGCCAAAATTACATTTGCTCTTAATTGAACGCTCATTCTGAGATGAGGAACCCGGAACACTTCCTACCCCCCCATTGCAAACACTCACCACTCCATCATCTAAATCTTCCGTATCATCAAAATGAAAACAAATCAAATACCTCGTCTCTGAACTAAGCATATTATCATGTAAAATGGTCCCCTTTGTATATATTTCATTAATTTCCCTCTTAATAGCTTTATCCTTCGGACCACAGGTTTCTTTATTGCGTTGTTCCAACTCCTTTGGAGTCTCCATCTGTTCAATCACCACCACCTTATGCCCACAGTTGATAACCTTTTTCGCATATAAATGAAGAGACTGTTCTGGAAATCCTAAATGAGGTTTCTGTTCCCCACCCATCCAATTCAACCCACAAATTGTATGCATTAAACAAGCATCGATATAAAATATTTCATAAAATCTCCCCATTTTAAAAAATATAATTTTATCGAAATTTTTTGACTTTATTTTCCAAAACTGTTGCATCCCTGGGGTGTAATGCGCGTGCTTGTATTCCACCGCCCAGGGATGATCTGGTGGGGGGGTCCATATAGTTGAGCAATCATAATCTGCATGGTCTGGGGTCCTTAAGTTCAGATCTCGTATATACTGTGGCTGAATCCATTTAGGAAATTCAAACGTATTGCAATAGAGGAAGTACTGTTCTATGTACATGCGGAATTTATCATTTGATAAGCTTATTGGCATGCTCAGCAATTTATTCCTTAGTGTGTCCAATTCTTGTGACTTTTTTCCATCTTCTTCCTTTCGACGATTCATTTTGCTAATCTCCTTTGCACTTTGCTCATTCGTAAATAATGTTTCCTCTGTCTTTATACACTTATTTGACTCATAAACCAAATTGCCTAACTTCCCGTCCACACCACCAACCTGTTCATTTCCTGGGGGTGTTTTCCTTTTTGTATTCTTTCCATTATCGTCACTTTTTTCATTAGAACCTTCATATACATCTTCACTTGAGGAATCCATGATCACCTTTCGCTTCTTCCTCACAATAATATCTTCATCAGTGCTCAACTCCGCGTTGTCTGCATATATCTGCTCATAACTTTCTTTCATTTCCATGTCCTCTTTTTCAATGGACCCTTTCACCTCTGTTTTGTTCACCTCTTGGCTGTCATCGGACAATGGATTCGCTTGTGGTACTTGTGTGCTGCATCCATTTTCCTTATTCTCATTTGTGTCCTTCGTTGCAGTGAAACCCTTTTCGCAGCTTTGCTCTGCTTCGTTCTTTTCACCCCCCTCCTGCTGCTGCGGCTGCTTGTTCACCTCAACAGTTGCTGCAAATTTGTCAAGCATGCTCATCGCCGCGCTGAGTTGCTGTCCGTCATTCTTATCCGCATCGCTTTTACTTTCTTTGGGCGCCTCCGCCCCTCCACCAATCACCTTCTTTACCTTCACATCCTGGGTCTTGAAGAAGCTTAAAATGGACGCCTGCTTTTTACTCACAGGCCCGGAAGAGTTGCACTTGCTGAAATCGACCATGTGTCTCTGCATGTGTGAATGGGGTTGCGGATGTGGTACAAGCACTATCTCTTCTATCCCTGCTGCGATTCAATAGTTTGTTCCCGTTTTGGGGCCGCACACCCTGCTGCTTCTTGACTTGAGCTGCGCAGTGCGCGTCGGCGATGATCAGCACACGTGGGGTGTTGGCCAAGTTGGAAGGGGCTCACCTAGCCAATTGGGGTTACTTTTTTTTTCACCTCCTCACGAATCGTGAACGGATGCACTAAACCAAATAGGCCACTCATCCAATCCGCAAAGAATAACACAACGCTCGATGTAAGCAACGAAATCGTCTTCGCGTTGCAAAAAAAAAAAAAAAAAAAAAAAAAAAAAAAAA